CCCCAATCCTGCCCTACCCCCCACTAGCCCCCAACAGTTCAGTCCTCCTGGAACCCTCCCCCCCATTCATTCCCTCCCCACAGCTCTCATCTCCAGATCCCCAATGCACCTCCTTCCAGACATTTTTTCAAAGTGGCAGCTGAGCGGTAACACCAGCTCCGCCCCCGTCAAAAAGTGGCAGCTGAGCAGTAACCGCCCCCTCCGCCTAGAGCAAGCCCCGGCAGCAACCTGCCCGCCCATTAGTCGGCCGCTAGGCCCCAAGCCAATCGCAGTATTGAAGAGGGGCCTCCATATGCTTTCAGCAACGGCGAGGAAGCCGCTTGACCCCGCACTGCCAAGCTCCATGCAGCCCCGGGAAGAGGCGTCAGTCGCTCATCTCTGCCTTCCCACAGTACCTTAAAACCTTCTCCTGGAGGAATGGTTATCCCATGGAAAGTTTGGATGCGGTAGCTCTTATAGTGTCCAAGTTATTAGAGCACAAACATACAAACATTCTCCTTTATATATTAGATTTAAGGGGGTTATACTGTTTCTCTCTCAGCTGACCTACTTTCATCCCATCCGAAAACTGAACTGGAAACAAAAGAACTATGTTCCATTTACAAAGAAAACAAGTTATTAAAAACAAATTTAGCAAATACGTGAGGTTAAAACTAACAGCAAATGAACTGAGTAACCAATAAAGTACATTTTGTTTACCTCTGCAGCATAATACTTGGCCATGCTTGACTCTTTTACGAATGGCTTTCCTGCTTCTACAAGTCGGGCTGCATTGTAAGTCAGCAATCTTGCTGCTTCCAGCTGGGTGGCCACTTGAGCTATCTGATGTTGCATTCCCTGTAACAAGTTGGCCTGACATTAGATAAAACTTATAACACATTTAATATTTTTAAAAGTATTATCCAGCTGCCTAACTTCAATATGCAGCAAAATGTATATTGCTTTTCAAAAATTTAAAGCTCATGGCCTGACTCTCTGTATGTTATACTCTGGGTGAAAACCACTAGGCACCTATGTTGCATTACTCTTCAAATAGCAAGAGGCAATATTTAATCTTTTTCTTATTTTCCTTTCCCTCCTCTTTAGCTACCTGTGGCTACAGTATAGGCCACATTTGCACAAAGGTGTTTTCATGTATGTATAGCTTAAAATACAATATTTATACAATGCAAGGTTTAGAATTTTAAAATACTTGGATATAAACAGACCTGCCATTGACTCCAATCACTAAGGCTGTGTCCAGACTCAGGGGTTTTTTCGAAAAAAGTAGCCTTTTTTCGATAAAACTTCACCTGCGTCTAGACTGCAGCCGCATTCTTTCGAAATTAAATTGAAAGAACGCGGCTTTTCTTTCGATGGCGGTAAACCTCATTTCACGAGGAAGAACGCCTTCTTTCGAAAGAAGGCGTTCTTGAATGTAAATAGGGCTTCTTCGAAAGAGAGCATCCAGACTCACTGGGTGCTTTCTTTCGAAAAAGCGGCTTGCTCTTTCGAAAGTTCCGCGTACAGTCTAGACGCTCTCTTTCGAAAGAGGCTCTTTCGAAAGTATCTTTCGAAAGAGGCTTGCAGTCTAGACATAGCCTAACTGAAAAAAGGTAGGAGACTTTTTTAGAGTGTGGGAGGAGGAGTGGCCTACCAAGTAGTATGAAGTTATATTGCCTGATCTTGGAATGGAAAACTCTATGATAGAAAGAGAGGATGCTGTGTGGAGTGGGGCAGAAGAGAATATAATGAGCATGGAAATGTTTAAGTTTTTTAATTTTTCTGGTGGATAAAAACCTCTCATCCACTCTATATCCCACCCATGCATAACCCTGTCCCTAAAATTTATAGAAGGCTGCAGTCTGCAGAAAAAGACCCCCTTTTGATGATCATAAAGTTTGTCAGTAGTCTGGGAGCACAACATAATGAATTTCATTCCAGGGGAAGTTAATGACATACAGGTAAGTGTCATTGGATTTGTAAAAAATCTACAAAATCAATTACAGTGGTGCCACCCTCTGTGGCATAATGGAATGTGTGTGAAATAGATATTACCAATGAACTAAGTGTCTTTATATAAAGCAAGAGTCAAATTATTAAACTTCCTTCAGTTTCTCCTTATCTGTTTAATGTTTCCAGGGTCTCCAGAGAGCATCATCCCCTACTTCGTGAAAAAATGGAGTGAAAATTAAGACAAATACAATTTATTGTATGGATCAAAAGTGTACCAGATTAGGTGTATACATACATTGTTTATTTCATACTTGTGTGTTTAGATTTTAACTAATGATTGAAATAACAGATACAGATTTGCAGTCTGTATATAACAAATTAAAGCTTATCTGAATTTCTTTTCAATTGCCATTCCCAGACATTGAGAAGGGGAGACATTAAACAACACTAGGGCACTATAGCTATTCAGTTAGATTATTTATTCCTGACACATTTTATTATGATTACTACTCCTTTAAGAAGACAGCTTTTAATATATACACTGACAAATACCTGAAAATCAAATATGCTTTTCCCAAACTGTACTCTCTCCTTTGTATATGGAACAGTGTGGTCAAAACATCCCTGTGCCAATCCCAACATCTGTGAATGAACAGAGAAACAAAGATTACACTGAGTAAACAATTTGTACATTTAATGTACCCAACGGAGGTAATAATTACAGTAATTCTTTTTCTGGGCAGATGGTGTGCCTTTTTAGTTTTTTGGCATTCAAGAAGATGAGCTTAGTTTTTCTCTGTAAAAAGAAATGCTGTATATAGCATCAGGAATAATGAAACCAAAGATGATGATGTAAATATAAAGTATAATAAAACAATTCTAATTGGAATCTTAACTGAGGTTTTACTAGTATTACAATACTTGTCCAGGTGACTCGTGATAAAGAGTCTAGGTAAAGAATAAGCCTATTGTATAATCAGGTGGATGCATAGCGAAGCCCTGTATAACAAGGCAAGAATTTAGTAAAAAATTGTAGTGAACTTTTCTGTAAAAATCAGAGGTGTTATAGATGATGACCCAACTAGTCTTTTCTAACTTCAGTATGCAATTCTGTGAAAAGTCCTAATTGCTTTGGACAGGAAAATTACTGTATACCAAACAGTGGAGCCACGTCTACACTGCGAGCTTTCTCGGCAAAAAATATGCTAATGAGTGACTCATTTGCATATTTTTTGCGGAGAAAACTCGTAGTGTAGACATAGCCTGGCTAAATATATACATCTACTAGGGATATTAAAAATGAGAAAAAATATTAATGGTGCAACCCATAGATATTTTTAATCAGTTACACAACTGTGGGGTTGCTGCAGCTCCCGGTCCTATGGGACTGCCAGGGTTCCTGTAGCCCCACCATTGCAGGGCTGCAAGCAGCCCTATGAAGAGTTTAACTAGTGCCAATAAGTGTAAACTTATTGGTTAACCTGTTAAACTCTTATATCCCTACTACCTACAGAAACTGAATTACTATCAAATTATTTTGCTGTTATGAAGGTGCCAGATTACAAAATCAAACAAAATACAAATACAAAATTAGAGTAATTTAGCTATAGAAGTGGTACAGTGATGAAGCTCAAGCATCCCCATAATGTTCTGGAGAGCCCAGTTTTAGAGGACAGTTAGGAGATCTGATAACTATTCAACCTTTGGCAGCTCTACTGAAGATACCAAGTCAGCAGCCAGTTGTGATGTGGACATGTACTTACTTGCACCTGAAGTAACGGTAACAATTCATATAGATCACTAAAAAGCCATCAGAAATAAAAACTTTGAATTACTATCAATCTAGCTGGACTGGATGAAAATTAGTGACCTAGAAATTGAACGTATTGCAAAACAAATCCCCTGGACCTCTGATATCTCACATCTAAGATGTTAGATGAACGGATTTAAACTCCTACTTCCTAATAACTTCACTATGACATTCAGTTATGAGTCATTATTTAACACCTGCTCATATAACAAACTGAATATGAGCCAACAGTGTGAAGTTGCAAAAAAAAAAAAAAAAAAAAAAACAGCGCACTAATATTCTGGGGTGTATTAATTGGAGCGTTTTACATAAGATGTGGAAGGAAAATTTTCTGCACCACTGAGCACTGGAGAGGCCTCAGGGGTATTATTGTGTCCAGTTTGGGGCACAACATTGCAAGAAGAATGTGGATAAACGAGAAAGTCCAAAGGAGAGAAATCTAAATGATAAATGATTTAGAAATGCTGACCTATGAGGAAAGGTTTAAAAAAAAAAAAAGGTCTTTAATCTTGAGAAAAAGACAACTGCATATAGGGACCTCAGTTTTCAAATCTCTCTATATATTAAAAAAAGCTTTTCCTGCAGGACGACAAAGTGACATCATCACATCACTTTGCAACCCACCAGCCTCCTCCCTTTCTCCCCGCTCCCCTCCCAACTCGAGCCTGAATTTGCTGCTTCCCCTCACCATTTGGAATTGCTATTTTAAACCAAGCCCCCATTCCCCTTCCTCCACCTCCAGCCCACAGGGTTTTCAATGCCAAGAAACATGGCACAGTAGCCAGCAGACCCCGCATCACAGCCATAACAGCCCAGGGGCAGTGCACGGGAGGGGGAGGGTGCAGTGCTCAGGACAGCAGCCTGGGTACGTCTACACTAGCTTGCTAGTTCGAGCTAGGTAGGCAAATGTGGCCCCAGCTGGACTCTGGTCAGTCAGAGTATGTCTACACTAGCTCGTTAGTTCGAGCTAGGTAGGCAAATGAGGGCAACCGGAGTTGCAAATGAAGCCCGGGATTTAAATATCCCGGGCTTCATTTGCATCTTCCTGGGCACCACCATTTTTAAATCCCCCTTAGTCCGAACTTCGTGCCCGCGGCAACACGCAGCACAGAGTAGGTAGTTCGAAATAGGATCTCTAACGAGGTGTACCGGTAGTTCGAATTAGAGATCCTAATTCAAACTACCTACTCTGTGCTGCGTGTTGCCGCGGGCACGAAGTTCGGACTAAGGGGGATTTAAAAATGGTGGTGCCCAGGAAGATGCAAATGAAGCCCGGGATTTAAATATCCCGGGCTTCATTTGCAACTCCGGTTGCCCTCATTTGCCTACCTAGCTCGAACTACCGAGCTAGTGTAGACATACTCTGACTGACCAGAGTCCAGCTGCTGCCACAGAGACTCAACCTTTGCCCAGCGGCTGCACTTAATGCAGCTGCCAGAGCATCCCAGAGCCACCTGTGGGAGCTGCCACATTGACCTGTCTGCTCCTTCCCTTCTACTCCCAGCAGGTGGCCCTGGGCTCTGTGGGCAGGACTGGGGCAGTGAGCAGTGCAGGTGGGACCACATGGGGAGAGTTTGGGACAGCGTCCCACACACTGCTGCTTCCCCTACCTCAGGAGGCTGCAGTGCTCTGGAGAGAAGCGTGCACACGGTACTACCTGTGCCTCACTGCATCCCAGGCAGGATGGGCAGGCACCCTTGCTCCTCTCTGGCCACTGGGATCACAGCTGGGCCTGGCTTTCACTGTGACCAGGACAGGGAAAGGGTTAGGGTTGGGAGGATGGGGAAGAGAAAGGGGGCAGGCTGCGAGGGGGAGGGGAGAGGGAGAGGAGAGGCAGAAAGAATCCTGGCTCGTAGGGGGCTGGGGAGAGATTGGAGGGAGAAGAGCCCTAGGCTGGTGTGGTGGGGGGAGGAGGGAGAATGGTGGCCTAGGCTGGCATGGTGCGGGAGGGAGAAGGGACTCAGGTTGGCAGGAAGGAAGGGAGCTGAGCTGATGGGGCCGAGGGGTGGGGGAAGGGAGAAATGATCAGGGCTGGTGCAGCTGCAGCCCAGCCCTCCCCAGTGACTGTGGGGAGAGAGAAGCCGGGGTTGCCTACCTCCCGCGAGAAGGGAATTGGCAAGCACAGTGAGCAGGGGGCACAGCCCTCTAGCATGTTAATAAAAGCTATTAACAGGATGGTGATTGTTCTCCATGTCCACTGAAGGCGGAACAAGTAGTCATCTTAATCTTCAGCAACTCAATTATTATCAAATTATTTTTCTGTTATGAAGGTGCCAGATTGACAGAATTAGAGTAATTTAGCTATAGAACTGGTACAGTGGTGGTGTCTGATTTGTTAGACTTAGCTACCTTTTCCCCCTAGGCTACGTCTACATTGGCCCCTTTTCCGGAAGGGGCATGGTAATTTTTGAAATCGCAATAGGGAAATGCGCGGGGGATTTAAATATCCCCGGCGGCATTTAAATAAAAATGTCCGCCGCTTTTTTCCGGCTTTTAGAAAAGCCGGAAAAGAGCGTCTACACTGGCCCCGATCCTCCGGAAAAAGCGCCCTTTTCCGGAGGATCTTATTCCTACTTCAAAGTACTTCTAAAAGCCGGAAAAAAGCGGCGGACATTTTTATTTAAATGCCGCCGGGGATATTTAAATCCCCCGCGCATTTCCCTATTGCGATTTCAAAAATTACCATGCCCCTTCCGGAAAAGGGGCCAATGTAGACGTAGCCTAGGGGGAAAAGGTAGCTAAGTATGAGACTAGATTATCAAGAGTTTGTGGAATTAGTCACTTAGGTTTTTAAGAACTGTTTATGCAAACACCTGTTGTGTATGACATAGGTATACCTTTGTTATGCCTCAGTATGGAGAGAATAAGACCTCTTGAGATCTCTTCCAGCACTGTATTTCTAGAACTACACAGCCTTCTGGTAATGCTAATGGTAATTACACAAGCATCAAAAACAGAATATACTTGTACTTGGTGAAAGTGACATATTGAACTCTAGGGCCAGTTGTGTCTGAGCCTGACACACATCATGACCCCATTTACCAATTTTTGGGAAAAATTAAAATGTATTAAAAACACACTTTTAAAAACTGAGTCTGGCAAACTGGTCTGAACAAGGATTTTTAGATCTGGATAGAAGATTAATACTCATGAAAAATATTTTACTGCAAAGAACTTTCCCCCTCTCCCTGTGGACTATCCAGACCCTGATTAACCAATTAAATGATTAAAATTATATTGTTTAACCGATTAACATTGTAAAAGGATACATACATCCCTAGCCACATCTATTTTTCAACATATAAAAGCCTGGGCCAGCATTAAAGAGTAGCCAGAGGCAGTATCATGAAATTAAGTTGCTCAAACTTCTGCCCTGAGTAATAGGGGTTAGGGCCCTAGGCTACAGTACAGTATGATGGGGCTCTGGCTTTCTGTCCGGGGCGCTAGCAAGTCTAATGCACTAGCAAGCCATGCTGGGTGGATCCCTAAAACCTGCCCAGGGCCCCCCACTGCTTTAGAATATGTGCTAACTACTTTTGCTAAACTATGTTTGATCTTGTATTTAGTTGTGACGCAGAGAATCTTTCCCAGACCTGAAGAAGAGTTCTGTGCAGCTCGAAAGATTGCTTCTCTCAACAACAGAAGCTGGCCTACAAAAGATATTATCTCCTCATTGTCTCTCAAATGATGATGACATTTTAGATATTTGAAAATTAATTAAGTAATCATTAGAAATTAACTGCTGTTTGATCTCAAAATATACTACTACAATGGAACCAGAATTCTGCATTATTAAAAGCATTCCTATGTACAATAATCAGTATAATATAGGGTCCTCTACCAAACATTATTTTATCTTACATAAAGGCAGAGTGACATCTAGTGGCAACACAGATGCTTTTCATTTAATTTCCCCAAATTCAAACTACAGAATTATTGCATTAAATATTAAACAATGATACCCACCTGTGCAGCAATACCTATTCTGCCTACATTTAGCAGTTCAATTGCATACTTATAGCCTTGCCCAAGCTGTCCCAGGATGTTGGTCTCAGGAACCTGAAGAATAAAACCACTCAATTATTCCTTTTCTGTTCTATAACTGCTAGTACTGCACACAGTTGAATCAGTATATATGTTTTATTTAACATGCCTCATAATTGAATGAAGCAATGTAAAATGGGCACCTAATTCCCATAATACTTTTGCAGAACGCTCCCCAGCACACAGAATGACAGAGAAAATTATTCAGAAATGGACCATTAATGAAAATTTCACGTGAGGTGCTACATGAATAATCCAAGTCCCTTAAATCCTGATTAGCAAAATGCTGGGCAGCCATACCTGCCCCCTCCAAATTCAGTGTTTGAAAATCAAGGTGTTACCAAGTCTTCTTTCCTAATCCTGTATCATACTCAAGATGTATGCAGGTTACACTTAACAACATTACTAAATTTCTATGAAAATTTAAAGTACCTTAACATTTTCAAATATTACTGGACATGTAGAAGATGCTCTGATTCCCAGTTTAGCTTCCTGTTTCCCTACCTGTAGGCCTACTATGAAGCATGTAATTCCCTTGTAACCCTAAGCAATAAATAAAAAACAAAAAACTGGCTTTTGTGATAAACCCAAATGGGCATTGAATATTTGATTTCTATATTGCAATATAAACACGTTAAATACTATATTAATATATAAAATGTGGAACCATCATCTGTTTTATTTTCCCCAGCTATATCTTTTGTAATTACAATAATTTAGCAAAGGCCAAGTCATTCATTTCTGTGGATAAAGTAACATAGAAAAAGAGCATTTTTAGAAGCGTCTGAGTGACTGTCTTGGCCATAACATCCACATGGTGAGGAATGAGAGCCTCAAAAGAGGGGGAAGGGATAGAGTCTGTAATACCTATATAGAATGTAAAGCAATTGGAAATTCTGACCCAATCCTGCAGTCCTTGTGCAACTCAAGTTCCTCTTCAGTACTCTTTTGAGCTCACTTTACCCTTGACAGTAAATCCTGTTTTTGTGCTGCGCTCCCACTGGCTTTCCTACTAAAACTGCCCACTTCTGCTCTGTAAAGTGTAAGAGTTAGCATTGCTCTCTGAAGCATCGCACCATCTTCTGCATGGAAAGCTGTGGCCTTTGCCAGGAAACCATGCTTCCAGAGTGGTTGTTTCCTGCATTTCACCCCTTTTCCAGCAATCACAAGCCAATTTCAGCAGAGTCCCATACACCTGATTCTTTGAATTTCCATTGATATCAGAGGGGAACAGGGAATTTAACACCTTTATAAGCCTTAATAGCATGGCATTCATGTGGCGAGGCTGCAGGCAACTATTATGTGTATGAAAGATGGGGATGTACTTCACACATACACAATGGGAAGCGACTGTCTAGAAGGAGTATGGCAGAAAGTGATTGAGGGGTTATAGTGGACCACAAGCTGTGTATGAGTCAGCAGTGTGATGCTGTTGCAAAAAAATCAAATGTGATTCTGGGATGCATTAACAGGTGTGTTGTGAGCAAGACACGAGAAGTCATTTTTCCGCTCTACTCTGCGCTAGTTAGGCCTCAGTTGGAGTATTGTGTCCGTTCTGGGCACCGCATTTCAAGAAGGATGTGGAAAAATTGGAGAAGGTCCAGAGAAGAGCAACAAGAATGATTAAAGGTCTAGAGAACATGAGCTATGAAGGAAGGCTGAAAGAATTGGGTTTGTTTAGTTTAGAAAAGAGAAGATTGAGGGGGGACATGATAGAAGTTTTCAGGAATCTAAAAGGGTGTTATAAGGAGGAGGGAGAAAACTTGTTCACCTTGGCCTCTGAGGATAGAACAAGAAGCAGTGGGCTTAAACTGCAGCAAGGGAGGTTTAGGTTGGGCATTAGGAAAAAGTTCCTAACTGTCAGGGTAGTCAAACACTGGAATAAATTGCCCAGGGAGGTTGTGGAATCTCCATCTGTGGAGATATTTAAGAGTAGGTTAGATAAATGTCTATCAGGGATGGTCTAGACAGTATTTGCTCCTGCCAAAGAGGGCAGGGGACTGTACTCGATGACCTCTCGAGGTCCCTTCCAGTCCTAGTATTCTATGATTCTACGTATATGGTATTAGGAAATGTTTTCTTGCCCATTTCCACATATAATTTTTTCCTTCATGCTATAAAATAGAGTCTTACTCCTGGGGGAAATTTGTGCCATTGTGTACATGCAGAATTCATACCATGCACAGAATTTTTTTTCTGGGCAGAAAATACATTCTGCTCAAGAACTGTTGAAGTCCCTCCTTTCGCCTACCAGAGGCCAATGTGTAGCCAGAACATAAAGTGGTGACTGACTGGCAATAGCAACCTGCTGCATACATCAGCATCCTGCCTGAAGAGCCAGGTTTGGAGACAAAGGATCTGAGTGGGGGACAAGGGCTGCTGGGGGGGAGGGGTCATGAATTGGGATTCAGAAGGACAGAGCAGGCCAGGGATTCAGGAGCTAGTGGAGTGACAGCATTAAACTGAATGGGAAGGGTTGCAGGGCCACCTGAGAATGGGGGCAAACGTGCCTGACTAAATTGGAGAGACTGGGGTCACTAAGGGCATGTCTAACACGGGAGAGTAATTTTCAAATAAGTCCTCTTATTTCAAAATAACAAGGTGAGCGTCCACACTACTAAACCTGCTACTTTGAAACAATGGACTTGTTATTTTGAAATATTAACTCCTGCTTGTGAAGAGAAATAAACTTATTTCGAAATAACTTGGTAGTGCAGACATAGCCTTAGGGTCTGCATGGGGAAGCTCCCCGACTTCCTAGCCTACCCCAAAAAATCTATTCCATACTTCTCCCATTCATATCCAACAACCCTCCACAATCACTCCCAGGCTCCTTCCCTCTCCCTCAGTTTCTCCATTAACATTGACTCCCCCCAAGCATTTGCACTGCTTCTGAGGGATGCAGAAAATACATTTCTTATTGCAATTGAAATAAATTACTCAAAGTTCTGTATAAATTTGCCTAATAAGGAATCTAGTAAAAGAAAGTTTAGGTTTTTACTTTGTGTTATCACAGACATTGCTGACAGATATTTTGAAATAAAGTACCAAAATAATTGAAACTGATGAGATTATACTGTGTTATTTTGACATCAAAAATATGCAGAATTTTAAAATATCGTGTAGATTTTTTTGCACACTTCCCCTAGGACTAACTACAGAGGAGAATCTAGTTTAATATTAACATGAATTCTAAGTTAATAAGTAACCACGTTCTTCAAATTTTGTATTCAGAATAAAGTTTTGATAGTGTGCAGTAGGTAAGGTCTGAGGCAATATATATGGACTTCATGATCAACCTTAATTATGAAATTGCCTAATTTTTGGCTACTTCACTTTGCAACCTCAATATTTTAACATAGTTTCTGGCTGCAATATTTATAAGCTTTGTATAAAGTACAAGCTACGTGATATTTCAGTGTATAATCCTATACCCGTCTGCTCTCATATAGCACATATGTAATTCCAATTTACATAAATGGCAGCAGCACACAATGGCAGGAAGATGAACAGATTCCATATTTAGCTGAAATTATATTTAGTGTTCACACAAGACTTAACTTATTCATCAACTTGAACTTCACTTTATAGTTTGAAATTGTCTGTTTGTTGACATAGAAATACATTGTTTCCTTGAATTAAGAACCTTCTTCTAAATGTCAGTGTTCAATGTAGAAAGTTAAAAATGTCCATATTATTAGCTATGCTGAACTTCTTAATTTATCTACCTATTTATGAATGAAGACATTTAGGAAACAAAGACAGACAGACAGTCCTGGACTGGAAATTGCATGATTTTCAACTAAAAAGTCAGCTCTTCATAGATGGAATTTAAAAACTCTTTTGATCAGTTGAAATGTCAACTTAAGTAATAATGTATTATAAGTATCTTCAAATTAGGCTTTTTTTTAATGGGACACTGCAAAATAAATAATCTAATAATCAAGCAAAATACTTTTTCTAATAATTAATTTTGCAGCTGCTCAGTTTTCACCAGTACATCATTTTTAGTTAATCAGTGGAAATATTTTTACATTTTAAACTATGCTGTTCAGGATTTTTTTTGGCTCTACTGTTCTTATACCTAACCTGATAAATGAAAAAAACAAACACAAACGTCATACTTCTTTTTTAATGTCCTTTGTCACATGGGCATGGTTTAATACTGTACTAACTTTTCCTTTCCATGCATGTAGGCCTAGTTCTATTTCACTTTTAATTGCAGTATCCTGCCTATAACATACCATTAAATGATTAGATTACAGAAGTGCCATCAAGATCCAGAATACGTATTCTTTGATGACAAAGGATATGCTAATATTTGTTAGGTCACTAATTTGGAAAATTATTGTTTTTATATGCACAGGGATGTGAAGAAATGTATTAAAATACTCACCAGGTTCTTAATTTTTACCATATAGATCATTCAGGGATAATATTATTAATTTTAAAAAATCCATTTTTAGTGGGAGCAAGATGCCAAAAACATACACATTACATTAGCATGATATTATCAATAGCTCCAGGAAACTCTCCCATAGCAACTTACCAAAGAAGGATTTACATTTGCCATCACAAAAAACACTCCTGCCAGTTCTGCAAAGCTTATCCACATCTTTGAGCCATTGATAATGTAGTAGTCTCCTTTCTTATCAGCACGAGTCTTCAAAGAAAATGCATCACTGCCAGATCCAGCCTCTGAAAGGCAGAAACTGCCTATCTATCAATTGAAGAGCAAACTACATTACAGATTTTATTTAAAATATGTGCACTGCATACAACATTAATATAAAACTTTAAAGGAAAATAAATATAAAGTTATTAAATACTTCAACCATTCTTAAACTACATATCCTGGGTAGTATCAGTTAGGTTTATAAACATGAAGACAGGGCTGTTTAGAGGTTAGAGTGAGAAAGAACCAAGTTATGGCTGCTTTCCCAAACTTACTCACAATGTAACCACTCTGTTTCAGTTAGCCAACCAGTACTATGGACCTAATATCCTTCCTTCCTATCAAAAAGTTTTGTGAGGATTAATATGGATATAGTACTGATTCTTAGATAAAAGTCTCTATGGAATAAAAGTAATTACAGTAATTAATTAGCTATCAGCGAAGGATTTCCAAGGGTGTCTGTTAGAAGTTATTTTTGTGACAATAAAACGGCTTAAAGATCTTAATCCTCCTTAACAAAAAAGTAAAAAAAAACAACTTGTTATGGGTACAGATACTTGTTATGGGTATCTGTCAAGCTGACCTTGATGTGTTGCCCCAACTCAATGTTACATGAGCTGTATTCAGATTTAATTTTGCTACTCCTGAGTTGCAGCAACAGCATGGGTTATGCACCACAACTCACTTCATTGTCAGAGACACTCATCTGCGTTCCTACAGTTCTACAGCACTGCAGTATTACTTCCTGCATATTACAGTGTAATACTAAATGATTACATGGATACATATCCCTAAAGGCCCCTGTTTTTAAGTTTTTCTCCATAGCAAGTCAGTATTTCTATCCCATTCGACTTAGGAGACCTATTTAAAAAAGTATATTTAGGAGTATTAATGAAGATTCCATATAAAAAATTTTTTCCTCTGCTGATGCTAACATACATAATAATCATTCTTAGTTCCCTGCCAATATACAAGTGACAAACACGGTCTCTTTTCTTAAAATCTTGTTAATTGTTAAGTTCACAACAAGAAACAGTACACATTTCTGCAAGACAGATAGGCAGGCTAATGAAGATAGAGAAAAGCTCCTGGAAAAGTTTGGTGCAGGAGAAACAACTGAACATGCAAGTCTCTACTGTTTACATGTATGTAACTCCTATTCAAGTCCATGGGAGTTGTGTGCAAAAGATCTGCAGAATCAGCCTCAAATTACTGAACAATGTGCTTTTCATTTTTCTCCTTCACCTGTCCCCCTTCTCCAGATGAAGTGGACATATCTGTGTCACTCCATGTACACAGATTTCAGTTCTCAAATAGCATTCCAATGTTGTCATATGAAAATATTGCTTCAGAATGTCATGTATCATTTCATTCCCTAATACACAGTAACATTATGAAATCATATAAAATGTTATTTAATTTAGTAAAGAACATATTTAACTCACCAAATCTTTAGTTAGTCTGGGCAAATAAGTTCTCTTTTGTTCTTCTGTTCCATATGTAGTAAACATTTTATTAGTTATTGTGTTCTGGAGTTCACACAGAAGAGCTACAGCTGGGTCAACCTTGGCCAATTCCTCTACCACCACTATGACAGAAAAAAATGAAGATCCAGTTCCTCCATACTCTGGTCCAAGCTCAATACCCATGAGCTAAAATAGAGAGAATGTATATACTGTACAACCATTGTGGGGAGATTATCACAGACAGTAACTTAGGCTGACAAGATTTTCAAATATTTTCACTACTGGAAAAATTATGTACAGGTAGTAAGCAATTCAAATACTTTTGTTCAAGTCAGAGAATATAAAATTTCTTCAGATCCCTTTGTTATACCTAAAATAATTTAGCTGGGTGATATTTGCTGCATAGGGGTCAAGACAGTGGTATTCATACAAAAAACAAAAGAGAGCTATAAACACATATGTGATTTATCATCATGACGACTCTGGTTTTGTTTGTCAGAATTATAATTTCAGAATTAAATGCAACATTGAAACTTTTCTAACTGTAATTTCCTACTAAACAGTAATTTAGGATTGAAAAAAGGCTAACGTCCATTCAAACTACTTAATCTAAAACAAAAGAAGTTGCACAACTGGCCATAACATTTCATAATGTAACTCTTGAATTAAAATAATAAAGTATGCAGACCCCTTGTTCAAATAGTCCTTGCTGTACAGATTCATCCATTTTTGCATTTGCATCCATTGTTTTTACCAAAGGTGCAATCCGTTCTTGAGCAAATTTTTTCACTATAATGAAGAAAAAGAATAGACATAAGTATTCTAGCCAATTATTTAACTAATATCTGAGCCAGCGATTTAGTTTTTTTTAGCAAGGTGTATATATCATTCAGTGCAGGGAGATCCCACAGATATGCAATACCCTACTCCAATAGCATCCAGAAAGGAAGATTAAGTGCTCCAGAGAGGAATATTGGTGTTTTGGATGTGTAGTTAATTCCCAGCAAGAGGTTTAAAAGATCCAAGTCCCGGAGCTGATGTAACTGGGAACTACCTATTTCAGATCAGACGCTTTTTAAATTTCTAAGAAACATGAGAGCACTTTGCTGACTAGAAGAAAGATCAGAAACTCACTGAGATATAAGAGCTCTCCCTCTGAGTTTGTTTGGTATTTATATTAGTTTTTTAAAAAGAGTTTACAGACTTAAAAATGCTCTCAGTGAATGTGGCTAGATACCTTGCTGGCATGTATCATTCTGATTTAACAAGATGCCTGTAAATGATGAATTGGAAAAAGATTTCTTTTGCTTAATCTAGTTCTTGTATTTACTTATCTGTTCAAGCTGTGGCCCAGTTACAACTACTGGCTGAACCTCTCTAATCTGGAACTCTCTGGTCTTGCATTATCAGAGACCCCTACGTGTGCTTCGGAGTAGAAGCACTCACAAGAGAAAAAAAGCACCACAGGACCACAGATGTTACCAGACCAAAGAGCCAGGCCGGCAGCTAGGAGTGGAGCCCCAGGGCTGGGGACTGGTGGCTGGGTTTAGACCTCCGTTGCAGGAGCCAGGACCAGGCATCTGGGGGATGGCATCTGCATGCCGAGGGCCCAGCAGCTGATAGCAGAGGTGCCAGTATTGATGTCCCTAAGTCCAGCAGGCTCCCTGATTCAGGACCAGACAGGTCCCAAGCGAGGTCCAACCTGTACTTTGAGCCAATTCCTAGAGAATAGATATCCATACCACAACTTGGGTGAGGCTTTTGCTCTGCCCTCAAACCCCTACCAACTACTGCTCTCACTTCTGTCCCCCTTTTAAAACAAACCCCAATGACTCCTTAGTGATCTCTGAACTGTTCTGTATGCTCTGCCAAGTCCTCAAACTGTGGGGCAACTGCTTAGCCCTGTCACTGCATAGGAAGGAGTGCTGTCAAGGGAGAATCAAGTTGTTCTGGACACGCAGAGAGATGGGGGATGAGAACATCATGGACAGTTAACGAACAAATAAGCCTCCAGGGCTTCCTGTGGAAAAAAAATATTTACCAAGGAGCCAGTGGAGAGAGAAAAGTACACTTTGGAAAAAGAGGGCAGTGAGAAATTATTTTAGAAACCTCCCAAAAACAAACAATCCCCCAAACCTCACTGCCCAAAAACTTAAAGCAAAGTTAAGTTGGCCCAAAGATGCCTCATGACCTTCCAGGACACTGAGTTCACTATATTCAATCTTCTGAAAATGGTGAAATACAGAGTCAAGGTAAAAATAATTCCTAAAATGTAACTTTAACTCCGCTTTCTGAATGTGATGCCCCAAAACACTAACACCACACATAACAGATATCTTGTCCCATGATAATAATAAACAAGCCATGAAATCTGAGAATGAATTTAGTGACTCAGACTCTGATAGGATCCAAATTGTCAAATATGAAGAGTATCACCTTTCCTTACAATACTACATTCAAAAGCAAGGTCAGGTGTTAAAGCCTAAAACCAACATTATTTACAGAGTGAAAAATACCTTGGTCCACTCTATATTGATTTTTACTCCTGCACTGTGCCCAGTACACTCTTTAGAACTCTGCCCTTAGAGAGGCCCAACTACAACTAAGTAGATGTGATTTCCAGCATGGGTAGATAGACTCACAGTAGCTTTGTTAGAACTAGCAGGCTAAAAATAGTAGAGCAGATATTGCAGCAAAGACCAGGCTAGTCACCTGAGTCACTTCTGACCTAAACAGAATTTGAAATCAAGTTTTCACATAAACTTTAATAAACACACTGGTCTCAAAATGTAGCTATGAATAAAAAGCAATATTTTACAAATATTTAATGCTGAACTTTTTGTGACATCTAGTAATAGACTACTCAATTTTAAGAACTTGAATGGCAAGTTACCCATTTCTTTCATCATCATCTCTTCTTCTGAAAGCATGTCAAGTGGAGCACACACTACTCTCTCATTGGCTAAGTTTGCCATAGCTTCTGATTTGGATGATTTAAAAACAGCAGGAGGAGCCTTCCAAGAAGCCAAGTATGCTGGCGTGTTTCTTTTTAGCTGTTGACAAATAATAAAGTTATAAAAATAAATTTTGATATACAAAAATAAATGCTCAAGTATTTATAAACAAGAATACAGATTTTTCACACTTTTTATTTTCTATTCAATAACTGAAAGGAAATACAATTATATATAATGTATTATTTTCAACTTTATTAATTTCAAGTTTTTTAGCACTGGGAGCAAAGGAGCTCAATCAATTCAATTTCCTTTCAACCTGTGTCTATCAATCCTACAAACTACTTTCTTCCCGTCAGTTTTTTACCCATTGGTAAGTATGAGATTGTTATTTTGGTAAAGATAAAAAATATTGTTTGTAAAATATGAATAGCTTTGAGAATTGCATCAATCAGCTAGAATCTGTTGTTAGTATTGCTAATATTAGAAGCCTGCTAGAATGTTCACATTAATAGCTGAACATTTTAAAAGATTTGTCTCCATTCAACCCATAACTATATTAAATACTAAAAAGTTTTCTTATAATAATAGTCTTAATTATTATTCTGAGTGTCTTTTTGCCTTGAGACCAATCAACTAAGAATGCTGGCAACTACATGGACAGCTGTACAAATGCTCTTTATTAAAGCTTGAATGTATTATGATTTTTATTTTTGTTCTCAAGTGTTCTGCAATCCCAGTGTCCACATAATTTGACTACAATGTGTATTAGATTATTAAACATGTGGCTAAAATAATTTCAGAAGTTATGGCATAGCTATGTTATCATAGAGGAACTTGTCAAAATAAACAGTAACTTAACATGTTATAAATTTAAGAATGAGCAAATACACCAGAAAAGATGCAATGATATTAAAACATGTTTCAATTAACAAGTTTAAATTCCAGAGTTGGTATAATGAAAATTATAAGCAACAGACTGCCAGTTGGCAAAAAGCCTTAATCAGCTGTTTATTTTTAAATGTCAAAAAGTGATACAGCAAAGAGCTGAAATTAGAAAATTCACAATAAAGACCAGGAGTGGGCAATAATTTTAACAGAGGGGACCTTTCATGAATTTTGGTACATGGTCATGAGCCAGCTCCATCCCCTCCTTCTCCCAGAAGAGGTGGAGCCTGGGGCATACGGGGCAGAGCTGGGGACTAGTCTCCCCCCAGAGTTGTCAAGGATCAGAGGCTTTGAAGTACAAACAAAGCAAAGGGCTCGCAGCTCCCAGCCACACCACTACTGCGTTGCCTAACAAGCTGCCTAGAGGTTGCTGTGGCTACGCAACCTGGAGACCTTTAAATATCCACAGCAACTCTGGGCGCCTGCGAGGCAATGTGGTAGCAGCAGAGCCAGGAGCTGTGAGCCCTTTTAATTGCTGCTATTTAAAGGGTGTGCAGATCCTGGCCCCACTGCTACCACATTGGCTGGTGGCCACCTGGGGTTGCTGTGGTTATTTAAAGGTCTTGCAGCTCCAGCTCTTGCCAGGGTAGTGCCACAACCAGGAACCAGGACCATTTAAATAGTGTTCTGCAGCCTTAGCAACCATCTGGGGGGAGCTGGCACCACCCCCAGAAAGGGGCTACTGCTGGAGCAGCCTCTGCCTGCAGCCACTGTGGACTACGGCTTCTTCACAGCAGCCTCCTTTTGCTCCCTCCCCCTCGAGCTGCTGCCTCTGACACCGGTCTTGCTTCCCCCCCCGCCTCTCTCCTGGCTGCCTCAGTTACTCGACTATTTGCTTACATTTCTAGTTTGTGGAATGCACGGTGGTAAAATTTGACATTAACAGACAGGAAAATGTTAACATGTAGCTGAAGCAAAGAATGGGCTGTGCATACAGCCTATATCATGGTTATGAGATAGTTTGCAGGTTCAGATTTACAATATGGTAGTGGAAGGACTGTTTTCCATATTTTAAAAGTGCGCATAAGATATATTATTTTGACAGCACTGTAAATGGATTCAAATAAATTGCTGATGAGTAAGTAGAGGATGGGTGATAATTTCAACATATATTAGTTAAGGTTATTTAGAGAACTAATAATTCTCTAGCATTCAAATTGTTTAAAAAAGTAGCTGCAACAGTTTTCTTTCGGACAACAGATTTCAGCTTCAAATTTTGATGGAGTTATTAAAATCTCAAGAATCATATAACACTAGAACTGGAAGAGACCTCGAGAGGTCATTGAGACCAGTCCCCTGCCCTTACAGCAGGACCCAGTACCATCTAGACTATCCCTGACAGACATCTATCTAACTTGCTCTTAAATATCTCTAGAGATGGAGATTCCACAACCTCCCTAGGCAATTTATTTCAGTGTATAACCACCCTGACAGTTAGGAAGCTTTTCCTAATGTCCAGTCTAAACCTCGCTTGCTACAGTTTAAGCCCATTGCTTCTTGTCCTATCCTCAGAGGCCAAGGAGAATGTTGGAGGATGCCCATAGCATATAAATATTTCTTCACTTATCAACATTCTTATAGAAAACTAGATTAATGACAGCATACTACATTTATTCCAGCCTCACTTTAGTAGCAGAATTGAAAGTTAAACTCTTTAACCATTAATGAAGCTGTAGCTATTAAATACACATGAAATAATGAAGACAAAACAAAAAAAGTTAAATCTTCAAAGTATTTGTTCAAAATAGAGAAACTTAAATCTACCCAATCAGCATATATCAGAAACGTCCACTAATTTTATTTTAGAACACTAGCTAGAGAC